CAAATCTTTTTAAGGTAACATTTAAAGAAAATTATTCAGCAACAGCAAAGTTGTCGATAAAATTGAACAAAAATACTTTCTTTTAGTTTTAGATATTTAACTTAATAAATTATTTTATGGGGGTTTGTTAGGTTTTAAATTATTCCATAGATATAAAAATATTTATTAACTGTTAGAGGTATTTAAAGTATTTAAGAGTAATTTCGAGGAAACATTTTTAAAATTGGTAAGCGCAATAAAAAAAAATAAAAGGAATAATATTAAAACATATTCTACTTAATTCAATAAAAAAAAGTACAGCTATTAAAATTTTTGTAAAAAGTAACTCAAAAAAAATTACTTAAATAATAACAATCGCTTTTTTGTTAAAAGTTACCGAAACTCGACGAAGCGTGCTCAAGATCTGCTGCTGAAAAATAGAACGTCAATAGTTTTTCGAATAATTTTTAAGAATAATTTTTTCGCTGAAATATGTCTTTTATACCTATAAGATTTTTATTCTAACATATTATTTTATTTTATTTTACCAAAAATAAAATTCCTTGTAAACATTAAAAATCTATTCAAAACGTTCGTTAAAGTTTTTTAGTAATACGAGTGATTGTGCTTATCTACCGCTTTATGAAAATAAATAGAAATAAAAAAATATTATATAAAATGGCTAGTAAAAATATTAGCTATTGCACAGTTTTTAATCGTACAATATTAAAATTTCCAGTTTATTACTCGCTGACTTTTTAAAAAGAAAAAATAATTATTTGAAAAACTTTAAGTTATATATTTGAGAAAAAAAAAATCAAATATTAGCATATTTTATAATCTTTTTTAAATGTTTAGTTGTGTCAAACGTTAAGAAAATAAACAAATGTTTTTACATTTTAAAAAGCCAAACATTCCAAAACATTTTTAAATAATAACATTTCTACATTAATGATTTAAAGTAGTTTTGCGGTAATTAAGTAAATTGGTGTGCAGTTAATGTCGATAAATATGAAAAGCAAATAAAAAGAATTTAATGACGTCAAAAACCACGTCGTGCTTATGCGTCACGCAGTTTTTATTCATCACAAGGCCTGGTATATATATATATATGTGTGTATATATATATGTGTGTATATATATATATATATATATATATATATGTGTGTATATATATATATATGTGTGTATATCTATATATGTGTATATATATATATATATATATATATTAGGGTGGTCCATAAAACAACTTTTTTGAGAAAAACCTGCTGACACCCCCTAAATGTGTTTTATCTAATGCAAAAACACTAGGTTTAAAATTTTTTTGAACAAAAATTATTTTTAGGGGTAGCTCAAGGCCCTCAAAAATTTGACGGGTCCCTAATATTTTGAAAAAAAAACTTTTTCTAAAGTATGTCAACCTGGTACTCAAAATAAGCAAAATTATATAAAAAATTTAAAAATGATAATAATTTTTTATAAAAATAATTTTTTTAGGTATAAATGCATAAAAACTATTGTTTTTAAGCTGAAAATAAAAAAAGTCAATATTTTCAGGTTTTTTGAGAATAATTTTTTTTAGGCATGTTTTTTATGTAAAATGATTATTATTTTTGAAGTTTTTATACAATATCGCTTCTTTTGAGTACCAGGTTGACATACTTTAGAAAAAGTTTTTTTTTCAAAATATTAGGGACCCGTCAAATTTTTGAGGGCCTTGAGCTACCCCTAAAAATAATTTTTGTTCAAAAAAATTTTAAACCTAGTGTTTTTGCATTAGATAAAACACATTTAGGGGGTGTCAGCAGGTTTTTCTCAAAAAAGTTGTTTTATGGACCACTCTAATATATATATATATATATATATATATATATATATATATATATATATATATATATATATATATATATATATATATATATATATATATATATATATATATATATATATATATTATATATATATATATATATATATATATATATATATATATAATATATATATATATATATATATATATATATATATATATATATATATATATATATATATATATATATATATATATATATATATATATATATATATTAGGGTGTTCTAAAAACAACATATTTTGAAAATGTCTGATGGGACACCCTAAATGTGTTCTATGTAGTTAATCAATACTACATTTAAAAAGTTTTTTTATAAAAAAGTTTTTTAGGGGTTGCTCAAGACCCTTAAACATCAGACAGGTCCCTAATATTTTGAAAAAAAAAAGTTCTTTAAAAGTGTATCATGTTGGGTTTCAAAAGAAGTGAAATTTTATGAAAATTTTAAAAATAATAAAATAAATTTACGAAAATACAAATTAAAAAAGTTAGTTATAAAAACTATTGTTTTTTAATATTTTACATATTTTCATAGTTTTTTACAATAAACTTTTTTAATTTGTGTTTTCGTAAATTTATTTTATTATTTTTAAAATTTTCATAAAATTTCACTTCTTTTGAGACTTTTAATCTTTTGTTCATTGTTATAA